TTGGATCGGCTGGGCTCCGTGTCAACACTAGGAGGTCCCGTCCGGTTGACAGAGAGGTAGATGGCCGGGAGATAGGCCTGGCTCGAGGCTAGCTCAAGGCTAACTGGTGCTTGCTAAGGGGCAATGGTAATTAGCCAACGACAGCAGCCATTCGGTTGCAGCTAGCTAGTTGCGATGATCCGGCGCTAGGGTCCAGTGATTCCGGCAGAAAATCCGATATGTTCTGGGTTGATAACACGCTGTGCAGACTGGCCGACAAATTGTCCAGGCTAGAGCTAGTGCTGGCTGGTGGGTAGTGCAGGCCACGGACAATGGTAAAGACGCTAACGGTGGCTAATTGCAAGTAGCTAGCTAGCTGGCTACCACAGCCATTCGGTTGCAGCTAGACTAGTTTCAGCTTAAGATTCTTGATAAAAGTTATAAAGAAATAATAGAATCCTTTCCACATTGGGTGAGGCGGGTTGCAGGAAAGTATATTTAGTTAAAGAATGAAAAGTAAAATTGAGAAATATTTACAAAAGACAAAAAACTAAGAAAACTGGCTATTTACACAAGGACACTACAGAAAACACTGCTACGCCATCTTGGATTAACTATGATATACAGATATATATACATACATATATACACTATAGGGCTTTTTAATGAAAATACTGTTTATTTCAATCATATCTAAGCCTGTCATCCTCCCTTTCTATCTGTCTTGACTTGAGCTATCACTAGTGAAGTGTAACATTGTCTCAAATCAATCAACTAGATCTGGCCTGAAGCTGCAGCTAGCGAACTTGCAACATTGTATCAACTAGCCTATTCTGGGCCCAGAGTTTCCCTTGCCAGTGAGCTCGGGACAGACAGCTGTTTTTGCGCAAGGGAAATAAAGTTATTTTATTATGTTTCCACTGGATATATGGGATCATCAGATTATGAGATTTTGCTCTTTCACACTGAGGCTTGGTGATTATTATGGGAAGATTTTTCAAATAGGCCTACTGTGAGGAACTATTAGGCTATCATTCGCAATGGATGTACAAAATAAATAAACTGGCTACATTGACTTACTGTGTGAGGTGAGTAAAAAATGTCTGAGAAGCTCAGCTTATTAGTGGTGGATATGGTGATTTTAAGACAATCAGAAATCAAACATCCCCAAATGGGCACTTTCCTAGATTTGCGCGCAGCAGGCCAGGTAGGCTACTTCTATGCATGCTCAGGCGTGCGTGCTTCTTCAATCCCCTATAGTCGATTGACGCACCGGTGCCAATCTAAGTAACATCATTAAAACAAATTCCCATCAAAATCTGTCCGTTTAAGCTGGAGATGTTTATATTTTTTGCATTGGATGCGTGTCCATCCGCCGATGTTGCACTTCCGCATAAGAGGTGAAAGGTGGCAGAGCTAGAGCGGTGTTTGTCAGACCATGAGACATCCCGAAAATTGGTCTTCTCATGAAAACGTCTGTAGTGTTCGAACGGTTTGACCTACAAATTATGACCACTATGGAAAGGGGAGACTCCCAAACACGATAGTGGAATCCGTTTTGCCCTACGACCCCCACAAGTGTCACGAGACTCGTCTAAAGGTAACCGGTTCCGGTTAAATAAACAAACAAAAAACACTTCAAAACCTTGTTTGTTATGATTTATGATTTGACAGTTTTTTTTACATTTATGCATGTGTTATTGAATGCGTTTCTTTGGGCTATAGTAATAAAGGCTAAATTCATTATTTTATGAATTACCATAATCTAAATGTGATTGCTGTCATTCTAAGCACAGAGGGTGGGCACCCTGATGGGTTACACACCCAATGCATATGTGTCCGGTACATTTCTCAAATGGCCGGTAAATTTAAAATCTTCCCGGTCACGTTGTCCGGCGCCACATTTTCCTAATGGAAACCCTGGTAAGGTAATCGTTTTCAGAATTTACATTTTTATGAGTATCGACCAGTTAAAACACAACTCAGTGACGACACGTTTGTGGTGACAGTCTTCTATTTACACACAGGAGTTTCGGAGACGCAGATGGCTAATTATCACAGGTAGTCGACTCCGTTTTCCATAAACAAGCATTGTAACATGTAAATATGGCCATGTGGAAACCCTAACCATATAAAGGTGTGTATCAATTTAGCGTTTTGTTTTTTGAAAATTGTTTCTTGCAAAACCGTACCGCAGGTGATGCGTGTTAATGTTCAGACCGAGCATCGGGGCCCTTAACAAAACTCCCCCGTACAGAATACTCCTTCGTCCAATGACTTATGTGTAATGGAACGGAGTCATGATCAAGGGCTAGGCCTATCGTTAGTAAATAAATGCATGCATGCCTCCCGCTTGCTCACAACAATGGAATCTTTGATTATTAGCTATAGTCTTTTATTTATTTTTATTTTTAGAAAAAGGAAAAAAAAGTATTAAAACATTACAAAACATACACATACAAACAACAGCATACAGACACACAAACATCAACGACAGCACACCTACCCAGACCCCCCCCAGCTACACCCCCATCTCCAGCGCCCGCATCACTCTGCCACATGGCCTCAAACCATTTTGTTTCTCTGTCACCCACGCACTTTAAACATTTAGATAATAAAGCATTTTACCTTTGTGTTTACTATGGAGGATTGGTTGATTTCCATAACGATGGAGGATTGGTTGATTTCCAGTTAAGTTATACGTCTTTTCAAGATGATTGACGAGAAAAGTATCGTCCAACCCATCAGTATCTCACTGCACCCTCATATGCCATGTCTTGAAATATGCAGACAGATGGATTAAAAGTACATTTATATTGTAATACTTCTGACAGCCAACTTTCTAACTCTGCCCATAACTTTTGGACTTTATAGCATTCCCAGAAGGCATGGATTATTGAGTCATTGTTAGTTTTACACTTAAGACATGACTCTGCCGTTGTGCTGTAGAATTTGTGAATGTTGTCTCTTGTATAATAAATTCTGTACATTAGTTTACACTGGATTAAGCGTACATTTTCATGAACTATAATTTCATTAGTTATGTTCCAACATTCCCTCCATCTTGTGCCAATATCAGTTATATTTAAGTCTTGGGTCCAATAGTTTATATTTTGTTTCTAAGGTTTCTATGCCTTTAGTTTTCTATGTGGACCAATTTATCGGTGAATTCTGAAAAGCTATCCAAGAAATGTTCCATAGGGTTGTTTTTTTAGGGAGCGATATTGGTTCTTGTTAGAATACGTTTCACTTTTGTCCATATTGTTATAGTGTTCTTAACTATGAAGTTGTAAAGATTCTGGGGATGAGCATGCGCATCTTCAATATGTACCCATTGTTCCTCTTTAGTGCATTTAACCATATGTCGCAAGGAAAAGCCTTGGGTAGCGAGTTGATACAATTCAAAGTCTGAAAGGTTAAAACCACCCTCAGACTTAGGAAGATGTAAAACTTTCCTTTTTATTCTATGAATTTTATTTGCCCATACAAAGTCTTATGATGGAGTATACTTTAAAGAATGTCGTATTACCAAAAATACACTGAACAAAAATACAAATGCAACATGCAACAATGTCAAAGATTTTACTGCGTTACAGTTCATATAAGGAAATCAGTCAATTGAAATAAATAAATTAGGCCCTAATCTATGGATTTCACATGACTAGAAATACAGATATCCATCTTTTGGTCACAGATACCTTTAAAAGTGCAGCCACATTGTAGCTGTTGTTCAGTCCTGTTCTATTATGGGGTCTCTGAGGGGGACGAGAGATGTTGGTTTAGAAACATGTTTGGGATAACGCATGTCACAAGACTGTACAACTGTTACAAACTCAAGCTTTGTGTTAAACTCATCCCTGGAAGACACACACGCACTGCTGTCCTCCTGATGGGACCTTTTTGTGAAACATGTCATATGATGATGCATGAGTGAAAATAGGACTTCTATTAAATATGCTCACACCACCAGTGTTCACACATCACAGTCCATATTCCCACCTATTTAATGTTAGATAGGTAGAGCGTCAGACCGTTTGGGCCTAAGCCTACTTATTATCCTACGGCCATGTGAATGGTACACTTGTGGACGGTCAATGGAAAGAATAGCCTATGTATGTTATTCCTCCATGTGCATATATTTTCTGATGGTTTGTAAAAATACAAAACTAATCTTGTGAATTATTTTAATGTGTGTTTTGCAGGCTTAATTCTGTGTTCGGGATGGGGAACCCCCTTCTGGACATCTCAGCCGTAGTGGACAAGGACTTCCTGGAGAAGTGAGTCACTGGAGGGAGGGGCTTAGGTGGCTTTCACACCTAGCTCGTTTGGCGTATTTTTTTAAAATTATTTTACTCTGGAGTTTTTACCCTCCTATGTTCGGTTTGTTTGTACAGGTGTGAACACTATCCGCACTTGGATGTGCACCAAACAAGCGCACCTTGGTTCGTTCAAAAAGTGTAGTCTATGACTGATTCCATTCGTACCATGGTGCGGTTAGCTGCAGGTGAGAACGCAGCCTGGATCAAACACAGGAAAAGAACCAGAGGCCGCAGTATTATTGGTTGTTTGGCCGCAAGCATTTAATGAATTGCACGTGATATCATAACTTGATTTCTCTGAAACATTTTGTTTATTACTCAGATATTACAATTTCAACATTTTAATAGAAAGACCAAGGTCTTTGGTTGAAATGGGCACCATTTTTTCCTCAAAGCTTATACCAAAATGGAGTTCTTAAGCCTATCTATCACACTGTCCACTTGAAATTAAGAGGTGGGACCAAGTCACTATTATTCGAGCCGCAAGTCAGAAGGTTCGAGTCTCAAGTCGAGAGCATGCTGACCGGTTGCATCACCGCCTGGTATGGCAACTGCTCGGCATCCGACCGTAAGGCGCTACAGAGGGTAGACTGTTCTCATTGTATGTAAACCAGGGTTTGGCCCCCAAGACAAGGTTCTTATCAAGAGTTCATAACAGATCTCGTCCCTGGTACCTTACAGACACCAATTCAGTCTATGAAAATGCAGGCTCAGTCAGGCCAGAGACATCTCCCTCTCACACACCATTAACCATGAAACTGAATTAATTTTTCTCTCACAATGGCCACACACTGATGGTACTCACTGTTATTATCTATGCATAGTCACTTTACCCCTACCTACATGTACAAATTACTTCAACTAACCTGTACCCTAGCACATTGACTCGGTACAAGTACCCCCTGTATATAGCCTCATTATTGTTATTTTATTGTTACTTTTTTATATATACACACACACACCTGCTCATTCAAGGGTTTTTCTTTATTTTTTACTATTTTCTACATTGTAGAATAGTAGTGAAGACATCAAAACTATGAAATAACACATGGAATCATGTAGTAACCAAGGAAGTGTTAACCAAATCAAAATGTATTTGAGATTTTTCAAGGTAGCCACCCTTTGCCTTGATGACAGCTTTGCACACTCTTGGCATTCTCTCAACCAGCTTCATGAGGAATGCTTTTCCAACAGTCTTGAAGGAGTTTCCATATATGCTGAGCACTTGTTGGCTGCTTTTCCTTCACTCTGCGGTCCAACTCATCCCAAACCATCTCAATTGGGTTGAGGTCGGGTGATTGTGGAGGCCAGGTCATCTGATGCAGCACTCCATCACTCTCCTTCTTGGTCAAATAGCCGTTACACAGCCTGGAAGTGTGTTGGGTCATTGTCCTGTTGAAAAACAAATGATAGTCCCACTAAGCACAAACCACAGATGGGATGGCGTATCGCTGTTGAATGCTGTTGTAGCCATGCTGGTTAAGTGTGCCTTGAATTCTAAATAAATCACAGACAGTGTCACCAGCAAAGCACCCCCATACCATCATGCCACCACCTCCATGCTTCACGGTGGGAACCACACATGCTGAGATCATCCGTTCACCTACTCTGCGTCTCAAAAAGACACGGCGATTAGAACCAGAAATCTCAAATTTGGACTCATCAGACCAAAGGACAGATTCCCACCGGTCTAATGTCCATTGCTCATGTTTCTTGGCCCAAGCAAGTCTCTTCTTATTATTGGTGTACTTTAGTAGTGGTTTCTTTGCAGCAATTCGACCATGAAGGCCTGATTCACACAGTCTCCTCTGAACAGTTTATGTTGAGACGTGTCTGTTACTTGAACTCTGTGAAGCATTTATTTGGGCTGCAATATGCAGTGCAGTTAACTCTAATGAACTTATCCTCTGCAGCAGAGGTAACTCTGGGTCTTCCTTTCCTGTGGCGGTCCTCATGAGAAACAGTTTCTTCATAGAGCTTGATGGTTTTTGCGACTGCACTTAAAATAAACTTTCAAAGTTCTTGACATTTTCCAGATTGACTGATGTTCATGTCTTAAAGTAATCATGGACTGTCGTTTCTCTTTGCTTATTTGAGCTGTTCTTGCTATAATATGGACCTGGTCTTTTACCAAATAGGGCTATCTTCTGTATACCCCCCCTACCTTGTCATAACACAACTGATTGGCACAAACACATTAAGGAAAGAAATTTCACAAATTAACTTTTATAAGGCACACCTGTTAATTGAAATGCTGGTTGAGAGAATGCCAAAAGTGTGCAAACCTTTCAAGGCAGGTTACATTAAGGTTGGCTACTTTGAAGAATCTCAAAATAAAATATATTTTGATTTGTTTAACACTTTTTGTTGTTACTACGTGATTCCATATGTGTTATTACATAGTTTTGATGTCTTCACTATTATTCTACAATGTAGAAAATAGTACAAATAAAGAAAAACCCTGGAATGAGTAGGTGTGTCCAAACTTTTGACTGGTACTGTATATAAAATCTCACGGAGTGACAACATTAAGGACACCTGCTCTTTCCATGACATAGCTTTTACCTGGTCAGTCTATGATCCCTTATTGATGTCACTTGTTAAATCCACTTCAATCTCCTCCCTCACCCCTGTCCTATCAATGGGGTCTTGGCTGGCATAGGAACAGAGATGTCACGTGTATGTGTGAGATATAGCTGGCAGGCTGGCACAGTAAGGCTGGCCATAGTAAGAGATCAGATTATGTGTGTGTCACACTCCTCTGTCCTGTCCCAACACAGTGCCATGAAGCTGTATGACACCCAATGAAGAGCGGTGGGAGAGATGAGAGTGCAGAGTGGAGGAAACTGCTCTGACAGTGGGGTTACTTGCCTGCCACACTAGACGTGTAACGTTTGCCGAGCATGAGATGCTCCTATCCATTTCAAGGAAACCTGAGGCTCTCGCTGCTCAGTGTAAAATTGCGCTTTGGTTTTATTTCCAAGATTAGCATAGCTCACACCCAAGAACAATAGGATAAAGTGGCTCGCCCTCTGCTCACACCAGCAAAAAGTGACACTTCTAGTGTAGCAGGTAAAAAACGTACGTAAACATTGGATTAAAACTAGAATGGCACCGACCCTTGAACATTATTTTAGGGAACAACAATACATTTCAGTCTAGACGAAACATTCAACACACACACATCCAGAGAGAGCTGTGGTGTCAAGTAATCCACTAGATCCTGATCAAAGTGGAGTGGGTTTTAATATTCTGTGTGTGTGTGGTGTGTAATCAGATAATCATGGGATATCTCATTGTTGTAGTAAAGTACGTTTAAAGGGCACAGAGACTGTTTCTTCACCCTCAATAACTTTGAAAGATAATCTCTTTCCCCCTCTCTCTCGCTCTCTCCCAGGTACGGTCTGAAGCCTGACGACCAGATCCTGGCGGAGGACAAGCACAAAGCATTGTGGGTACTACTCCCATGTAGACATTCAATCCATCATTCAACATCAGAGGTTCATCTGTAGCCTCACGTTTGCCTTATCTCTCTGTTGCATGAAGAGTTATTTTCCATTTTAGACTGCTGATTGTCTGTAGTAGCGTTGTGTAGTCACTGGGCAGGACAGAACAGGCATGTTCTAGAATTCACCAGGACGAGTTTAGCCAATGATGGGGCAGGAGGTTCAGAACTAGCCAATAGAAGGGCAAGAAACCTCCACTCCGGGCCAAAGCAGTTTGAGAAAGTCAACATTTAACCACAGAGCGATAAGAAGACTGCAGAGTGGAAGGGAGGGAGAGGGGGGCTTTCTCAAGGTTCAGTAGGGTACAACATTGTATTCAGATCAGATCTGTATATCATTTGGATGTGGTACCCTAAGACATTGAACACTTCTCCAGGCGTTGGGAGATCTGGGCCCGTATTCACTAAGCGTCTCAGGAGTGCTGATATAAGATCCGTTTTGCCTTTTAGCTCACAATTAATAAGATTACATGGACAAACGTTGTGTACGCACAAAGTATGCCCCAAAACAAGCGTGCGCCAGTTTTCACTCAAAGGTTGGCATTTATCAAACTAAACTTGACGTGAGAATGTGCTTACCTTCCCGCACACTTTAGACCATGCGTACACACAGTTTCTAGTGGTTGAAGTATTGCATTGCAAAAAGGCAAAACTAGCTTAGTAGTAGCCTTGTGCAAATGGGGAATATGATGACACTCTTATTCATAACAAAAAAACTGGTAGCTAATTAAAGCCAAAAAAATGCAATCATTTGCCGTTAGTGAGACAAGCAAAAATCTTTATTTTATCTTTGCATTCTGAAATAATTAGATATAGCCATCTATTTCCTTTTGTTTATTTAATTTCCATGATCATTGCAGAATAAATTCCTCACCTTTTCTGACTGATGGTTTCATACTTCCGAAATATCCTATAGGCCTACAAGTTAGGATATGCTACCATTCGTCCCACTTCACAGTTATAAATAGATGAGCTATTTCAAGTATTTGCTCTATGCGAGCGCAGTTTAACGGTAGAACAAACTGTTTAGGGTTTATTGACATTGAATAATGTAATATCAAATTTCTTGAGTAGACAATATTTCATTTAAACATTATGGCATATGTATATACAGTGCCTTCAGAAAGTATTCACACCCCTTGACGTTTTCCACATTTTGTTGTTAGTCTGAATTTAAAATGGATTAAATTGAGATTTAGGCAAAGTGGAATTGCGTTAAGATTTTTTAAACATAATTAAAAATGAAAAGCTGAAATGTCTTAAGTCAATAATTAACCCCTTTGTTATGGCAAGCCTAAATAAGTACAGGAGTAAACATTTGCTTAAGTAACATAATAAGTTGGGATGGACTCACTCTGTGTGCAATAATAGTGGTTAAAAAAGCTGAAGAACATACGCACATCCAGGTACTTTCCGTAGGTGCTGGAGTTTTAAGCAAACTCATGGAAAACAGAAAGGAAAATGCCGCACACTGCTGCTCATGCTCCCAGGTGATTTTATTTATAACAATGTTTCGACCCTTAGGTCTTCATCAGGCATCCATATCCCAGTTGGGGGTGGAAGGTCATATATACAGTGCATTCGGAAAGTATTCAGACCCCTTGACTTCTTTCATATTTTGTTACATTGCAGCCTTGTTCTAAAATGGATTAAAAAAAAAAATTATCCCATCAATCTACACACAATACCCCATAGTGACAAAGCAAAAACAGGTTTTTATAAATGTTATAAAAAGGAAATATCACATTTACATAAGTATTCAGACCCTTTACTCAGTACTTTGTTGAAGCACCTTTGGAAGCGATTACAGCCTTGAGTCTCCCTGGGTATGACGCTACAAGCTTGGCACACCTGTATTTGGGGAGTTTCTCCCATTCTTCTCTGCAGATCCTCTCACGCTCTGTCTGGTTGGATGGGGAGCATCGCTGCACAGCTATTTCCAGGTCTCTCCAGAGAAGTTTGATTGGGTTCAAGTCCGGGCTCTGGCTGGCCACTGTGTTCTTGGGGATCTTCAATGCTGCAGAAATGTTTTGGTACCCTTCCCCACATCTGTGCCTCGACACAATCCTGTCTCGGAGCTCTACGGACAACCTTATGGCTTGGTTTTTGGTCTGACATGCACTGTCAACTGTGGTACCTTATATAGACAGGTGTGTACCTTTCCAAATCATGTCCAATCAATTGAATTTACCACAGGTGGACTCCAATCAAGTTGTAGAAACATCTCAAGGATAATCAATGGAAACAGGATGCACCTGAGCTCAATTGAGTCTCGTAGCATAGGGTCTGAATACTTATGTAAATAAGGTATTTCTGTTCAAAATAATAATTACAATTGGGAAGAAAATTGAAAAACCTGTTTTTGCTTTGTCAATATGGGGTATTGTGTGTAAATTGATGAGGAATATTTTGAATTTGATCAATTTTAGAATAAGGCTGTAACGTAACAATGTGGAAAAAGTCAAGGGGTCTGAATGCACTGTATGTCTCAAGTTTTGAGGGAGTGTGAAATTGGCATGCTGACTGCAGGAATGTCCACCAGAGCTGTTGCCAGAATTTAATGTTCATGTCTCTACCATAAGCTGCCTCCAACGTCGTTTTAGAGAATTTGGCAGTACGTACAACCGGCCTCACAACCGCAGACCACGTGTAACCACGCCAGCCCAGGACCTCCACATCAGGCTTCTTCACCTGCGGGATCGTCTGAGACCAGCCAGCCGGACAGCTGATACAACTGTGGGTTTGCACAACCCCAGAATTTCTGCACAAACTGTCAGAAACAGTCTCAGGGAAGCTCATCTGCGTGCTCGGTGCCTCACCAGGGTCTTGACCTGACTGCAGTTTGGTGTCGCAACCAAATTCAGTGGGCAAATGCTCACCTTTGATGGCCACTGGCATGCTGGATAAGTGTGCTCTTCACAGATGAATCCCGGTTTCAACTGTACCGGGCAGATGGCAGACAGCGTGTATGGCGGCGTGTGGGTGAGCGGTTTGCTGATTTCAACGTTGTGAACAGAGTGCCCCATGGTGGCGGTGGGGTTATGGTATGGACAGCCATAAGCTACGGACATTGTCGTGCCATTCATCTGCCTCCATCACCTCATGTTTCAGCATGTTAATGCACGGCCCCATGTTGCAAGCATCTGTAAACAATTCCTGGAAGCTGAAAATATCACAGTTCCTCCATGGCCTGCATACTCACCAGACATGTCACCCATTGAGCATGTCTGGGATGCTCTGGATCAACGTGTACGACAGCGTGTTCAAGTTCCTGCCAATATCCAGCAACTTCGCACAGCCTATGATGAGGAGTGGGACAACATTCCACAGGCCACAATCAACAGCCTGATCAACTCTATGCGAAGGAGATGTGTCGCGCTGCATGAGGCAAATCGTGGTCACACCAGATACTGACTGGTTTTCTGATCCACGCCCCTACCTTTTTCTTAAGGTATCGGTGACCAACAGATGCATATCTGTATTCCCAGTCATGTGAAATCCATAGATTAGGGCCTAATGAATTTATTTCAATTGACTGATTTCCTTATATGAAATTGTTGCATGTTGTTTATATTTTTGTTCATTGAGGCAAAGATTACAGACTGTTTAGTCTACAAATAAAACTCAATTTACTGGACATTTTACATTTAAATATGATTTAAATATATAGGCCTATGTAGGCAATAGGCCTACTGTATTAATTTTTTCATGCAGTCATCTCTGTTTTCATTTTAAGCATTTTTATCCTTCGCTTGTTCAATTGCAAAGACATCAGCAACTTCATTCCCAAGTTATTGGCGGTCACAGAGCGACAGATACAGTAAACGGCTTGAATATATGTTTAGTGGAGATCTTCTGTGTATAAAGTGACTAGGAAGGGCAAAAAAGCATCTAACGATGCACTTAGCTGTTCTACGAGTGGTCTGAGGCAGTCGGTAAATAGCCAGGGTTTTTAAGTGTAACTTTACTAATGATAGTTTTGGGAAAATGCTCAGAGATTGAACGATTCTCCTACGACTGTTCTAACGATTAACTTAGCCTTAAGATGCTTTTGGGAAACCGGGCCCAGGTCAGTAAACAAACCACTGAGGTTTGGAAATAGCCTAGGTGCTGGAGGGCGGAGGCCTCTGATAATGTCCTGTGCAGAGTGTATTTCACTCAGCCAATGATGCTAAAAGTCTCTCAATCTCAGCCTCACCTCCTTGGCTCTGTATTCTGCGGGCCCGGTCCTGTTGTAGTCCATTTCCCTTTCTTCCTATTGGTTCAGCTGATGTTATGTTAATTATACCATGCTGTCCCCTATTGGGTAGAATATCGTGACCTCGGGACTATAAGATTCTAACTGCGCAAAGCATAGTTCTGAGATATGGAGCATCAAACTTTTCACATCTCAGAACTGTTTTGTAGTAAATTCTTCTTTCATAACTGTAGTGACGTGACCTAATTTAATGTCTGACTGTTATTAATCGAATCACCTAACTATGTTTAATTGTCACTCGATTAAATTAATCATGAAACAATTAATTCATTAGGAATTTGGGGCACCACAGAATAAATTGTTTAACGAGTTACCATCTCCCAAAATAAACTCTTAGAATATATATAACATATCAATAAGTCACTTATCAAATAATTACCTCTTATCAGTCTGTCACGAGAATTTATATCTCTAATTAATCAAACTTAATGCTTTGAATAATTCCCAGAGGGTGTAAGGCTCTGGTTTAATCATGAATGAAATGAAGGTCCGCAACCAACGAGTTATCTGTATGTTTTAATCATGGAGAGCTCTGGCGCCAAAAAACATACATACAGCTTTTATATCCCTTGACACACAAAGGCACTTTGCTCCGCCTACCTATAAACAGTTTCTTAGTCCCCTTCACCCTGGAATGCTTTCTCAACAGTTTCTAACTTCCCCCCTCTGTTAGTGGGTTGACACTACATTATAACTCTAACACCGTTCACACACTTATACTGTATTTGGGGTGAAATTATTCTTAAAATACAAATTAATCTATCACAGTCTCATTCTGAGTGTCGCATAATCCTTGAACCTGCAATAACCCTAACCTTATTGATGAATCAGCAATACACAAATTGGCTTAATTATTTATTTACTAACTAACTAAATAATAACACTACAAACATACACAGGTTATTGATTACTAACGTAATACAATGAAAACAGGTCCTTAGTGTACTGGACTAACATTAGCATGAATGCTTGGGTAGTGGAGGGGTCAGAATGGAAGGGAGAGACAGATTCAAACTATCGTAGTTACTTTGGAAACTACGTTCACAGTAATCATAATACTTATGCACCCTAATAATCGCTCTTTCGGATTAGAAATGCAACATGTTGCTGTCGTCGATAATTGAGTTGATTATGTAGGACTCTGGTTTGCCCACCAGAGATCTCAATATCCTTGGTAGAGTTTCTGGTCGTAGTGGTGGTTAGAATGGATACTTCAGATTTACAAGGGATTGTCCTCTCCTCTCTCGTCTTTAGTTAAAGTTCTCTAGACGACTATACATGCCAGCTGTAGACTGAAATGGTCTAGTGCATTGTCTTCTTCTTCACCTCGTGTAGAGGTTGAGAGTTTGAGTTTCTCCATTTCAAACGTGTGGAGTAACGTCTCACGTTTCCTTGGCTTCCTGGTCTGGTAGAAATTCAACCATTTGCAACGTTTAGCTCACGCTTCACGTCTGCTGGTCTAAAGGTTGATTTTGTTTTTCCAAGGCTTTTTATGCCCTCTGGATAAAAGGGGCATTCCATCGTGATGACACGATCTCTGATGTCACTCGGGGCGTGGCTAGTCACTGTGCATAGTTTATATGAAAAACTTATCTCATTAGAAGACTAAAATCACATTCCTATCTTCACCAAAATACTCTCATACTTAATCATATATTTTATACAACATTTAGATGTAAACTTGATAGATAGAATGTCTACACTTTCCGAGTTAGTTATTACTTGATACCATCCTTAATGACATCACAAAATAATAAACAATATGACATGATTATTCTTTAGATCCCCACTGACCATTCCAAACACTTGGAGGTCAGGAATAATGTCCCAATGTCCAATCTTTTGATTTTGGAGTCTTGGCGGGAAGACTTCCTTTGTTAACAAAGGGGTCCTTTCTCCCAATACTTTATGGCAAGGAAGAGAAAGTCTGCACGGTATTTACGACCGGTCATAAAACTGGCCCCCAGGAAAGGGGGTGTTCAAACCTTTGCCTAGCCGGCATGTTTGATCCTCAACCCATGAGGGCAAGTCATGACATAACCTATTAAGGTCCTCACCTGAAAGGTACCTAAAGTGCAGAGTATCAAACTCGAGACATTTGTAAAAAATATATATACAGTCAGGGGAAAAAAGTATTTGATCCCCTGCTGATTTTGTACGTTTGCCCACTGACAAAGACATGATCAGTCTATAATTTTAATGGTAGGTTTATTTGAACAGTGAGAGACAGAATAACAACAAAAAAATCCAGAAAAACGCATGTCAAAAATGTTATGAATTGATTTGCTTTTTAATGAGGGAAATAAGTATTTGACCCCCTCTCAATCAGAAAGATTTCTGGCTCCCAGGTGTCTTTTTATACAGGTAACGAGCTGAGATTAGGAGCACACTCTTAAAGGGAGTGCTCCTAATCTCAGTTTGTTACCTGTATAAAAGACACTTGTCCACAGAAGCAATCAATCAGATTCCAAACTCTCCACCATGGCCAAGACCAAAGAGCTCTCCAAGGATGTCAGGGACAAGATTGTAGACCTACACAAGGCTGGAATGGGCTACAAGACCATCGCCAAGCAGCTTGGTGAGAATGTGACAACAGTTGGTGCGGTTATTCGCAAATGGAAGAAACACAAAAGAACTGTCAATCTCCCTCGGCCTGGGGCTCCATGCAAGATCTCACCTCGTGGAGTTGCAATGATCATGAGAACGGTGAGGAATCAGCCCAGAACTACACGGGAGGATCTTGTCAATGATCTCAAGGCAGCTGGGACCATAGTCACCAAGAAAACTGAAATCCTGCAGCGCCTGCAAGGTCCCCCTGCTCAAGAAAGCACATATACATGCCCGTCTGAAGTTTGCCAATGAACATCTGAATGATTCAGAGGAGAACTGGGTGAAAGTGTTGTGGTCAGATGAGACCAAAATGGAGCTCTTTGGCATCAACTCAACTCGCCGTGTTTGGAGGAGGAGGAATGCTGCCTATGACCCCAAGCACACCATCCCCACCGTTAAACATGGAGGTGGAAACATTGTGCTAAGGGGGTGTTTTTCTGCTAAGGGGACAGGACAACTTCACCGCATCAAAGGGATGATGGACGTCAAATCTTGGATGAGAAACTCCTTCAGCCAGGGCATTGAAAATGGGTAGTGGATTGGTATTCCAGCATGACAATGACCCAAAACACACGGCCAAGGCAACAAAGGAGTGTCTCAAGAAGAAGCGCATTAAGGTCTTGGAGTGGCCTAGCCAGTCTCCAGACGTTAATCCCATAGAAAATCTGTGGAGGGAGCTGAAGGTTCGAGTTGCCAAACGTCAGCCTCGAAACCTTAATGACTTGGAGAAGATCTGCAAAGAGGAGTGGGACAAAATCCCTCCTGAGATGTGTGCAAACCTGGTGGCCAACTACAAGAAGCGTCTGACCTCTGTGATTGCCAATAAGGGTTTTGCCACCAAGTACTAAGTCATGTTTTGCAGAGGGGTCAAATACTTATTTCCCTCATTAAAATGCAAATCAATTCATAACATTTTTGACATGCGTTTTTCTGGATTTTTTTGTTGTTATTCTGTCTCTCACTGTTCAAATAAACCTACCATTAAAATTATAGACTGATCATTTCTTTGTCAGTGGGCAAACGTACAAAATCAGCAGGGGATCAAATACTTTTTCCCCTCACTGTGTGTGTGTGTGTGTATATATATATATATATATACATATACACAAATTTACAAAAATGACATTTTGGGGGGTACATTCGCAGATAGAACCTGATGGCTCTGAAATGTCAATCTGGATTTAGCCATAAGGTTCTGTCTGACACTTCTGAATTAGACATGGCCAGTTAAGAAAAGTGTAGCTATTTGAATACCTAAATGATAATGACAGAATAACACTATTTTACCAAGATAGTCAGAACACATCAAATACATTAAGAAATGTATTATCATCAGACGAATTACTGTCATCACTGAACAACGATGTGACAACCTGTACTTTCTGACTGTTGTTTTTTGCTTGCCTGCCATTTATTGCTGTCTAGACTAGCTTAGACGTTTGCAAAGACGTGTTCTGATTGGTCGGTCTGTAATTGTTCAAGCTTGTGAATGGATTGCAGATCGAACCTTAGCGCCAAGTTCAACTGGGTTTATGCAAATGGAACTTTCCGTTTATTTATTTTTTCACTTCATGTACTTTCTCACAAATCTATTAACTTCACAGACATATGAACAACCATCCTAAAGATCAATTATATGTGACGAACTCATTTTTGGCAAAAATGTCAGAACCTTATAGCCCAAGGTCTCTATTTTATTGCACTATACTTTTGCTGGTCAGCCGTCCTCATTGGGAGCTATTGGATGAATGTGCAGGCTTTCGATCCTTGCTCTTAACACACCTTATTCAGCTAATCAATGTCAATGTCAATGATTTAGTGAATTATTTGGTATTTTCTCTAAACAATGTGTTGCAGGTTTGAGGAGATTGTCAAAAAATTTAAAGTAGAGTACCATGCCGGAGGATCGACGCAGAATTCTATAAAGGTCGCCCAGGTATGACACACACACTTAGTCATTACACTCTATCCCACTGTGCCCTCTCCGAAATGTATAAAGGTCACCCAGGTATGTCTCATTCACACACACACCACACACTCTAACCTACTCTAACACACACACACACACACACACTCCTCTCCAGTGGATGATCCAGGAGCCCCACAATGTGTGTACGTTCTTCGGCTGTATTGGGGAGGATACGTTTGGAGAGATTCTGAAGCAGAAGGCCAAGGAGGCCCACGTGGACGCCCACTACTATGAGCAGACAGAGGAACCTACTGGGACCTGCGCTGCAGCCATCACCGGCAACAACAGGTACACACCGACACACACACTATAACTCTCCTAATACACACGCACACTGTCATACACACGCACACACACTCATAATACACACACTCACACTGTCATACACACACTGTCATACACACATACTCTCACTCTCATAACACATACATACAGTCTCACATACACACACCAAGGACAACAGGTCAAAACTACTCCATCTAACTCTCATCAACTCCACTCTTTCTCTCTTCCCTCCCCCCTCCCTCTCTCAGGTCTCTGGTAGCTAACCTAGCAGCAGCTAACTGTTATAAGAAGGACAAACATCTGGACTTGGAGGAGAACTGGAAACTGGTGGAGAAAGCCAAAGTCTACTATATCGCTGTAAGACCACACACACTGAGTAGCATTGATAATAACAGGCTGTGTAGCATTGATTTATAACCGGCTCTGTAGCATTGATTATAACTGGCTCTGTAGCATTATTACAGGCTGTGTAGCGTTACTACAGGCTGTATAGCATTGATGATAACAGGCTGTGTAGCAGTATTACATGCTGTGTAGCATTGATAATAACCGGCTCTGTAGCAGTATTACATGCTGTGTAGCATTGATAATAACCGGCTCTGTAGCGTTATTACAGGCTGTGTAGCATTGTAACAGGCTGTGTTGTAGGATTGGGCGATATTACGATGGCATTGTCTATCGACGACATCGTGATGTGACAGATAATAGTTTAGCCTATCTGAACTTGACTGGCGCCGTGCAGTAAAAAACAGAGTCTCACAGCGCAGGGCAGCTCAGAAGTGGCATTCCGAGTAATTTGCCTATTCCTATTTGCTATAGCCTATTTCAATAAATCTGTTATATAGCCTACAGAATGCAAGAGAGGAATGTAGGCCGGACATAGCGGAGAATTCCACCAAAATGTCCAGTCATATAATATTGTTTCTCTCTCGAAGGCATGGGCATAAGCCTAAACCTTTTTATTTTATAATGGACACTCCTTAACTATCTTGTCTAGCTGTTTTATTCCCTTCTCTCTTCATTCGATAGGCTATGAATATGACGGAAGGCTACGCTTCATCGTTTTATGCATTGCTTTCTCCCGTTGTAATGAAGTTATTTGAATAGCCAGAGGACTAATACTGAGAGAACAAACTATCATTATCATCAGCCTTTAGAAAAATCGAATGACAAGCTTATTAAGAAATAAATGATCTATGCGGGCCGGGAAAATCCCTCCACGAGGTTGAAAACCAAATGCCCAATAACCTATCCTCCTACTAGGCCTATCATAAAAGCTTTAAGACAAGTTAAAGTTATGAACAGTAGCTTATTTCTCAGATATTCTAGCCTATGTAGGTGTTGTCCTAAAGTTGTTGTGGCTTTCAAAAATAACAAGAATGAAAGTCTATAGACTAGGCATAGGCTATTCTCAAATCACAGCTTTATGAGAGATGGAACAAACAATTAGTATTTTTTTCTCTATTATTGTATGAGGTAAATAAAGCAATTATTATCCAGTTCTGAAGACTGTAGACTGCTTCTATCCAGCCCATTATGTAGGCCTACAACGTAGCTCACAGCCCGTTCCTCATCAGTCACTGCTCCATCATCAGTGCGCCACACAGATCGACACACAAACCTGTTCTGCTCCTCCAACAGAAAGGAATATATTTTTTTTAATTGCCGTTGCCTGCGCTAGGCTTTCAACAACATCATCTTTCGTCATGTTTCATCCAGTTGCATTCGATTTCACGCTATAGGCCAACTGTAGTTTTAGCTGAGATTTCTTTATTAATTTTTTCAACAACAACAAATGTATCATTTGGGTGGTGGCCAATAGGGGCTATTAGCATCGTGCACTGCTCAAAAAAATTAAGGGAACACTTAAACAACACAATGTAACTCCAAGTCAATCACACTTCTGTGAAATCAAACTGTCCACTTAGGAAGCAACACTGATTGACAATAAATTTCACATGCTGTTGTGCAAATGGAATAGACAACAGGTGGAAATTATAGGCAATTAGCAAGACACCCCCAATAAAGGACTGGTTTTGCAGGTGGTGACCACAGACCACTTCTCAGTTTCTATGCTTCCTGGCTGATGTTTTGGTCACTTTTGAATGCTGGCGGTGCTTTCACTCTAGTGGTAGCATGAGACGGAGTCTACAACCCACACAAGTGGCTCAGGTAGTGCAGCTCATCCAGGATGGCACATCAATGCGAGCTGTGGCAAGAAGGTTTGCTGTGTCTGTCAGCGTAGTGTCCAGAGCATGGAGGTGCTACCAGGAGACAGGCCAGTACATCAGGAGACGTGGAGGAGGCCGTAGGAGGGCAACAACCCAGCAGCAGGACTGCTACCTCCACCTTTGTGCAAGGATGAGCAGGAGGAGCACTGCCAGAGTCCTGCAAAATGACCTCCAGCAGGCCACAAATGTGCATGTGTCTGCTCAAACGGTCAGAAACAGACTCCATGTGGGTGGTATGAGGGCCCGACGTCCACAGGTGGGGGTTGTGCTTACAGCCCAACACCGTGCAGGACGTTTGGCATTTGCCAGAGAACACCAAGATTGGCGAATTCGCCACTGGCGCCCTGTGCTCATCACAGATGAAAGCAGGTTCACACTGAGCACGTGACAGACGTGACAGAGTCTGCAGACGCCGTGGAGAACGTTCTGCTGCCTGCAACATCCTCCAGCATGACCGGTTTGGCGGTGGGTCAGTCATGGTGTGGGGTGGCATTTCTTTGGGGGGCCGCACAGCCCTCCATGTGCTCGCCAGAGGTAGCCTGACTGCCATTAGGTACCGAGATGAGATCCTCAGACCCCTTGTGAGACCATATGCTGGTGCGGTTGTCCCTGGGTTCCTCCTAATGCAAGACAATGCTAGACCTCATGTGGCTGGAGTGTGTCAGCAGTTCCTGCAAGAGGAAGGCATTGATGCTATGGACTGGCCCGCCTGTTCCCCAGACCTGAATCCAATTGAGCACATCTGGGACATCATGTCTCGCTCCATCCACCAACGCCACGTTGCACCACAGACTGTCCAGGAGTTGGCGGATGCTTTAGTCCAGGTCTGGGAGGAGATCCCTCAGGAGACCATCCGCCACCTCATCAGGAGCATGCCCAGGCATTGTAGGGAGGTCATACAGGCACGTGGAGGCCACACACACTACTGAGCCTCATTTTGACTTTTAAGGACATTACATCAAAGTTGGATCAGCCTGTAGTGTGGTTTTCCACTTTAATTTTGAGGGTGACTCCAAATCCAGACCTCCATGGGTTGATACATTTGATTTCCATTGATAATTTTTGTGTGATTTTGTTGTCAGCACATTCAACTATGTAAAGAAAAAAGTATTTAATAAGATTATTTCATTCGTTCAGATCTAGGATGTGTTATTTTAGTGTTCCCTTTATTTTTTTGAGCAGTGTATATCACTGTGTTTTATGAGTACATAATCACGATAGGACAAAGGTTGACATCGCCCAACCCTACTGTGTGGCATTGATTATAACTGGCTCTGAAGCATTATTACAGGCTGTGTAGCATTATAACAGGTTGTGTTTATTTAACAGGCTTTATTATCTACAATGTAGGGTTTCTTCCTGACAGTGTCTCTGGAGTCCATACAGAAGGTGGCCAAACACGCGTCTGAGAACAACAAGCTCTTCACTCTGAACCTCTCCGCTCCCTTCATCTCCCAGTTCTTCAAAGACGCCCTCATGAAGGTCATGCCCTATGTGGACGTGCTGTTCGGAAATGAGACGGTACACATACAAAACACCCTCATTCGATCATTCATCCTGTACCTATGTCTTTCTAGAGAGAGAGACCAATAGAAAGGCATACAGATGGGTAGAGAGCTTGTGAGAGAGAGAGTGACAATGGGATCCTACGGGCAGATGGGTAGAGAGAGAGCAACAGACAGATGGGGAGCGAGAGGACGATGGAGAGAGAGAGACAGGTAGAGGAGGCACATGGATAAAGATATGGAGAGTAATGGGACATTTTCTGTTTTTCAGGAGGCGGCCATGTTTTCCAAAGAGCAAGGCTTTGAGGTGAGTGGACTGCGATTTCAAGCGCAAACACACACACTTGTATTTTAGTATAGCTTGTTTGTGACAACAGTGCGTGTTTGTAGACGGAGGACATCAAGGAGATTGCTAAGAAAGCCCAGGCTCTTCCCAAAGTCAACAAGAAGAGAGCGAGAATCGTTGTCTTTACTCAGGGGAAGGACGCAACCATCATGACCAAAGGTAACTACACACATACTCGCTCACTGATATGAGTGTGGAAACTAGCCTGCCTTCAGCAGCTCTCTTTCACGTTTAATGTGTGTCTATGTCTGTGTGTTTGTGGAGGAGGTGACAAGATAGAGATGTTCCCAGTGCTGAAGATTGACCAGAAGGACATTGTAGACACAAATGGAGCCGGAGATGCCTTTGTAGGAGGTACGTGTCCTTGAGTGTGTCTTTGTTTGTGTGTATGAAAGTTTTGGGTGGCTTTCTGTAGGGATATCTGTCTGGTCCTTGAGAAACAAAGAATCGGTGTGTCTTATTGTCTGTGTGTGTATTTTAATGGCGTGTGTGTCATACAGGATTCCTGTCAGAGTTGGTCCAGGAGAAGGGGTTTGAACAGTGTGTGAAAGCAGGACACTACGCCGCCAACGTCGTCATCAGACAAGCAGGATGCACCTTCCCTGACAAACCAGACTTCAACTGATGACCTGTAACCTTAAAGGGAAGTTTGCAGAATTAGGTTGCTGTTAGACATTCTGATTTGTAAGACATCTCACTTTACATTTATATTTTTATATTTTTATCCGAATTTGACCGAAGTCATGTCGGAAAAGCGGTAGGAAAGTGACGTCAAGAGATAAACACACAAGTGAATACACAGCAGGCGAGAAGCCACTGTCCACATAAGACGGTAAAGACCCACATCATACCTAGTCCTCCTATTGTTTTTGATAAATATTTTGGCACTCTGAATAAAGCCAACTTATCATCTGACCATATCCTGTGTTTTCTTTATTCTGTATCAGCTAATTTTCTTATTTTTGTATTACATATAATGTTAGCGTGCAGGCTTTAGCATAGCCCCTTTTACACCCCTGCTGGCTTACGTTACCCCTAGCACCCTTGAAACGCATCACTTATTATGAGTACAGCACATCAGCATTTCTCGTACTGTTACACAAAATCAAGATAAACCTTTACCGTCATAGTAGACATTGAACGTCTATAACCAAACTGGCTAAAACTATTTTGTTTGCCGATGGTAGCTATAGCTAGCCACATGCTAACCTGAGTGCTACTACTAGCTAGCGGCAGTAAATCCAGGTATAGTGGCTACCATGATATCCTGCAAGTTATTGGCAAATGGAGATCAGGCAGTTAAGCAAAAATACATTATTACAAGACATACCTTGTAATAAAGAATTACATTAATCCGATTGGTATTTGACCATTCATTTCTACAAAATGTGCAGTATTCTGTTGGAGTTGTTGTAGCTAGCTTGCTTGCTAGCTTATTCCATCCCCAAACACCATGCTAGAGCCCGTGTGGGTGGGCCAGTTTGTTTTGCATGGCCTGGTGCACTTTGATATATGGCCATCTTAGTTTTTTTATCATCTACTAACCACATAACATGACAAAACTCTTTGGGCACTGTAGTACCTACTTACCCGATTCACATCCATCACCGAAGCCGGCTGCTGTGGTGCTGTAAGACACCGGTGGTATCAGTGGACTTCAAATCAAATCAAATCAAATTTTATTGGCCACATGCGCCGAATACAACAGGTGCAGACATTACAGTGAAATGCTTACTTACAGCCCTTAACCAACAGTGCATTTATTTTTAAATGAAACAACAACAAAAAAAGTGTTGAGAAAAAAAGAGCAGAAGTAAAATAAAATAACAGTAGGGAGGCTATATATACAGGGGGGTACCGGTGCAGAGTCAATGTGCGGGGGCACCGGCTAGTTGAGGTAGTTGAAGTAATATGTACATGTGGGTAGAGTTAAAGTGACTATGAATAAATAATTAACAGAGTAGCAGCAGCGTAAAAGGATGGGGTGGGGGGGCAGTGCAAATAGTCCGGGTAGCCATGATTAGCTGTTCAGGAGTCTTATGGCTTGGGGGTAGAAGCTGTTGAGAAGTCTTTTGGACCTAGATTTGGCACTCCGGTACCACTTGCCGTGCGGTAGCAGAGAGAACAGTCTATGACTAGGGTGGCTGGAGTCTTTGACAATTTTGAGGGCCTTCCTCTGACACCGCCTGGTATAGAGGTCCTGGATGGCAGGAAGCTTGGCCCCAGTGATGTACTGGGTCGTACGCACTACCCTCTGTAGTGCCTTGTGGTCGGAGGCCAAGCAGTTGCCATACCAGGCGGTGATGCAACCAGTCAGGATGCTCTCAATGGTGCAGCTGTATAATTTTTTGAGGATCTGAGGACCCATGCCAAATCTTTTCAGTCTCCTGAGGGGGAATAGGCTTGGATCCTACATTGACTGTTCTTTTTTGCCTCATCTCCATGTTGAATCCACTCTTCCACTGTTGGTAGCCGGCGTATTCATAAAAGTCATGCCCGCATATGACTGAAGCTCCCCTGACCCAGTCTGTCCGACGCGGTAGTACTTTCTTCCCATCTATCTACTCACATTTTGACCAAACATGCATGCCGGTAAACAGCGCACTGCTGCCACCACAAGTTATTCTTTTGATGTCAAAGCCCCAATGTATTGTTGTTATATGAGTTTTTGATCAATGTAAATCAAATTGTGAAAGTAGAAGTGTATAATTAAGCAATAAGGCACGAGGTGGGGTGGTATATGGCCAATATACCACGGCTAAGGGCTGTTTTTACGCACAACGCAACGCAGAGTTTTGTCAAAAATAAATGCTTTGGAGGGCCTCCCGAGTGGCGCAGCGTCACTACAGACCCGGGTTTGATCCTGGGCTGTGTCGCAGCCAGCCGCGACCGAGAGACCCATGAGGCGGCGCACAATTGGCCCAGCATCGTCCGGGTTAGGGGAGGGTTTGGCCGGCTGGGATGTCCTTGTCCCATCGTGCTCTAGCAACTCCTTGTGGCGGGCCGGGCGCATGCACGCTGACTTCGGTCAGCTGTATGGTGTTGTTTCCTCCGACATATTGGTGCGGCTGGCTTCCGGGTTAAGCGGAATTGTTGGTCATATCAACCCCGCAAGTGATCAAAGTTGTACACTCGCTCACTCAAGCAAAATCTAGGGTCGAGTGGGAAACTTTTGTGAATTGGACCGCCAATTAAGATGGCAGTCAAACTGCATCTGGTTTTGATGGGATTCTCCTGAGGGAAAGTTGCTAGCGTGAGGGCTGAGGGGGTACCGCAAATTTTGACGGTGATGGTGGGAGTGGTTTTGCCTAATGGAATCATGGGAGTTTGAGTCTTGAACAGAAAAATATTGGCGTAAGCTGACTAAATATCGTTCTATAGGTTTTTGAGCATCTATTTAAAATATTCAAAGATGTTATTAGACCAAGACAACCAGAGCAACATATAGCAGGGAGTTCCAATATGATCCGAAAATACAGACGGGATATATAAATAGCTGAAATGACTGTTAGTCATTTATTTTATTAGTCATCTCAGGAATCCTACTTGAAAACGTCACAGAGAAGCAATTTTTGGTTTTGCTCATAACTAAACAGTCAACAGACCTGAAATCATAAAATTACACATGGTGTAGGACCTCATTAAATACTTCATAATAACCTCTTACCCCTACCCCTAAACCCATCCACTCATACCCCTACCCTAACCCTCACCCTCCAACTTAATGAAACCAGTTCCCCCCCTTTTTTAATCAACCATCTATCCATGCTTTCATCCAATTCATCCATCGATCATTGCTTTCATCCCTCCTTCGCTTGTCTTTCTGCAACCAGACTTCTGTGCCTGTTCTTGTCCTCCACTAGGAGATGCTCTCGGGCCACACTGCCGGATACTGCAGTAAGTGTTTATACGGATGTTCAACTATCCTCCCTACTGACTCTGCTGAAGTCTACTGACCTCTGTACACTCAGACTGATGGTACTCACTTAATACTGCCCGATTTGCCGTTTACTATCAGCCTCTCTGGTAACTGTCATCTTTACACACACAGCAGATTGCTGCTGGAATGAAGACCAAGCTAAAGCCAAGTTTGTGGGTGAGGGACACAGTTAAGGTTGGTTAATGGGTTAGTTAGGGATAGGTGGTATACTGTAATTTGATGGAGGACATTTCTGTTGAAAATCTGTAGTGAAGCCGCTCTATCAGAGATAATAAGGAGACTGCACTTAAATGAGATGGGCAGTGTCATTATGATTTAGATTTCCCAATTTTGTAACTGATTGTTTGATTATGACTGAAGGCTTATTGAAGCGGAGAAGTGTTGTTGTAAAACCGAACAGATTCCTTAACCTTAAAGGGATAGCTCACCCAAATTACAAAATGACATTTGGGTTCCTTACACTGTAAACAGTCTATGGACAAGGTATGAGAGTAATCCATGCTTTGGTTTACTTTCCCTGGTACCATTTCCACATGCTAACGTTTTAGCATTTGTGGCACAAATCCCATTCAAGTCATGGGACCGATATTAGCATTCTTCACGCATCATGTTCAAAACATCTAAGTGACTGTTGAACTTCACAATCAATTTGAGACACTTTCGGATGATTTCGACATGATGAGTGAAAAATTATAATATCCATTCAATGACTTGAATGGGAATTGTGCCACAAATGCTAAAACGTTATAATGTGGAAACGTTGGCAGGTAAACTAAACCAAAGTATGGATTGCTGTCATACCTTGTCCATAGACTGCTTTCAGGGTAAGGAAACCAATGTGTAATTTGGGTGAACTATCCCTTTAAAGCGCACACTAAACGTTTAAAGTTCTCTGTACACTTTGTAAACGTGTAAAGGCCTCTGCACTTTATAAGCGTGTCAAAACCTCTGTACACTGAGTCAAATGATTTGTCTGTTTTACGAAATATTCATATTTAAATAATCTACAGGTGTAGCCTGTAGATATTGGCTAATAAACACATTTCAGTTGGTCTAAAACACAATGTTTTATAACGGGCTGTTTATAATTTCATAACAGGCGGTATAGTGTCATAACACACTCGTACCTTTTGTGTGAATGTTTAGTTCGTAAAAGTGGAACTTGGTGTGCAGGGGCTTAGGGAAGTAAGCACCTCCTGTCATGTGTATGGTTGTCGATGTCAAGTGTTTTATGCTGCGTTCAAAACAACTGGGAACTCGGAAATCTCAGACTTCCCACTTCAGTGTGTTCAAGACAACTGGGAATTCAGAATAAAAACGAGCTCCGACCTACTCGGAATTCCAACTCAGGAACTCGGGCCTCTTTCTAGAGCTCCAACTTTCCGACCTGAAGTTCACTGACGTCATGATTTGACCTTGTATTTTTCAGAGTTCCCAGTTGTCTTGAACGCACCATCAGTTCGATGCCTCAACTGACGATTTGAATCTCCTGGTGTGTGTATGTAATTTGTGTGGTATGGTGACTTGCTGCGTCTACTTCTTGCATCTGTGTTTTCGCAATACTTCACTCACTGTCCATTGACACTGGCTAGTAATGCATGTTTTATAAAATTGCTGTTATGATTCAGGAAAAGATCCCATGAGCCGATGTATCCTCAATATGAGCTGCTAACCCAAATGCTGACCTCAAAATACAAAGGATATTTCATTAATGTATTTGTCTTAATTTCACCAGGTAAAGTAATTGAGAACACATTGTTATTGATAGGATCCGTCACCATATTGCTTTCACCAGTCAGTCTAACATCAAGAACATATTAATGAAATTACAATATGGTTGATTTGTAATAGTGTAATGGCAATACACATATTTCAAAAAGTTGAGTAAACTATGATATAGTTTCTACTACCATTCATGTTGCTTATAGTCTGTCTCCTGTTTGCTTATTTACTGTTGGGTCTGTGTGTCAGTCTTAATCT